ACGTTGCCGAGATGCTATGGGCCTAGTGTGAAGTGTGCAGATGAACTTGGTACTCGTTGGGATACGGCCCGAGGGGGCGTGTTGAGGAAACGGTCCTCTCCCAACTCGTGTGGTTGCCGACCAGGGGATTTGACCTCGGGTCTGCGCCTGACTAATGGGGAAGACTTACCCCAGAACCTTATGGGGCTACCGATGCATATCCGGTAGCTAAGTGATAGACATTAGGGCACCGTCTGGACGGCGCAGTGAGATCGCAGAATGTACGTGCAGTTAGATCGCGAAATGTACGAGTTTTCCGCTAGCGCCGGTATTTAGGGCGGTGACTGCGCCTATTAGTTTATCTCACAACGATCGGTATTCCTACCAGGAATCTCCTCAAGTCCTGCCGAACGCTAACAATACTCTTTACATTACTTGTAACAGTTTATCGTGCTAAATATCTTCGCCACCGGCAATCCTTCCGGAATAACAATCAGCGTTAGCCGTCACCGTCGCCAATTCTTCAATATGGTGAGGGATCGCTGCCTAGGGCTGGCGAAGGGATACCAGGTAGCACCGTCGGCGAGGGATCGCCGCACTTGGGTGGCGAGGGGGCGCCGGCTGGGGCTGGACCTTCCAGCAGTGCGAATGGGCAAGGAATCAATCAGCCTGATGTGGAAATGGCGGGAACTAGGTATCCAGTTAGAGAGCGTAAACGCCCTGGCGAATGGTGGCGAAACGAACCTGGTCGCACTGTCACTGGTCGCGTTAACGCTGCTTTCTCTGCTGGTATTCCTGAGCCTAATTCGTTTGAGGAAGCAATTGCAAGTCCACATGCAGACGAATGGCGGCGTGCGATGGACGAGGAGATCGCCGCCCAGATGGCTAATAGTACTTGGGAGCTGAAGAAGCCACCTCCTGGTACTCGTTTGTTGCCATGTCGTTGGGTATATAAGGTTAAGTACAGCGATGACGGCAGCGTGGAGCGTTTTAAGGCGCGTTTAGTTGCCAAGGGTTTCGAGCAACGTGAGGGGATTGATTATGGGGAGTTGTTTGCCCCTACCTCTCGTGGTTCGTCATTGCGTGCTTTATTAGCAGTTGCCGCAGCCCGGAACATGACGGTACATCAGCTCGATGTGTCTACTGCGTTTCTGAATGGTGAGCTGAAGGAGGAGTTGTGGATGGAGCAACCGCCTGGGTATGCATCCAGTGACCGGTCGCTTGCGTGCAAGCTGCAGAAGTCTATTTACGGGTTGAAGCAGGCACCCCGTTGCTGGTATGAAAAACTATCAGCAGAGTTCGCCAAACTAGGTCTTTATCCTTTGAAGTCTGATCCGGCGATGTTTGTTAAGACGGACGAGCGTGGGGTTGTTGATGTTGTTACAGGGTGGTTAAGCTTCACCAGTGGCCTCCTTCCCGAGGCAGTTCCCTGCTCTCCCCTGCTAGAGGGGCACCCTAAGCCATTCACCCCATCCGACTTCAGAGTGTACTCTTTGAGTTTGGCAACTCACCATCAGCATCCAACCAAATCTAGCGGATCAACGGCGCGTCAACTTAGTTCCTGGTCAGCTCGCGAGTTGATTTTATCACGTCCTACACCGTCCACAAGATGGGGGGCCACCTCCCATTTCATCACCTCTCAAACACCCCGAGAGGTCGGCAGGCGGATTTGAACCCGGACGCGCTGGACGGGGATCCTCA